GTCGAATAAGCCAATTTTATATTCCTTTTTTCTACACAGAACAATCTTTCTCTGTAATCCATTCAGATGGTAATTGGCCTTTGTTGAGAATTTCTTCAGTACTTTAAACAATCTCTCTTGTGATGCCAGGCAGCTAACCTTGAGATTAAAGCATGATTGAAATTAATCCTAAAGGTAAAAGAATGAATATTCTTTTATTTGAATAATATATTTGAATATATTATTGAATATATTTGAATAAATCGACCCATATAGCATTGATCTATGGCCTATCTGGACACCCAACACATCTAAAAGAGAAAAATCTTGCCCAGCGTGGATTTCACAAGCTCCTGGTCTGTCTATCATGATTCCACCAAACTCCACTCCTTGCAATTTTCCTCAGATATAGTAACATCCTGATACGTGTCTTTAAAGTAAGCACCTTTACATGCAATTTCTTAACATGAATATATAAAATATGCACTAATATAAACATGAGCATTACAACTGTAAGAAGCAAAGTAACCAAATGCAAATCTAAGTTGGATGGCAATGACGAATTTCATTGTTGGATTCCCCCGACATGTCCCACCAACGGTGGTATCTTCCATATCTTGAACTCCTCAAACTAAGACGGTTTTTAAAATCATGCCTTCATCAGTTTCAGGTAGTCTCTTTAGCTTGGTGTGTATTTTCTGATTTTCCCCTTACGTTTGAGCTCCTGAAGTGCTTTAATGCCAAAGGGAACGTAGAGTGCCATTCAGTTGTTTCCCATCCCAGTGTTTTAGATCCACGTGGAGCCTCTTCAGAGTAGAATGCAGTTCCAGTGTTCTTGCTCCCAAGGCACTTCCAGCTGGAAAAGACACAAAAGTCGAGCAGTTGTTATTCGGTGATGTCTGGAACTCTGCGAGAGATCTATCCCTTTATCACCACCCTGCACCTGGAGAGCTAAGCTTTGGATTTCAACAATTCTAATGTAGGAAAATGTGATGGAATGGACTTATGAAGGCCATGGTCAGGGAGATAAGCGTGTTCTTAGTCCACAGCAGGAGCGTGGGAAGTTCAAGAAGATGAGGCTGGCACCTCCCTGAGGAATTCACGGTGTTGGGGCTGGCTGGCTTGGGAACTGGGGTTCAGTCTGGGGAGATTTCGGTCTGGAGGTTGTAGCTAATAAACGCAACAGAATTGTATTTGCATTGTCTCTTGGAGTTCTTTGGGCTGAACCTGACAGAAAAGCCCAGCTCTGCTCTGGGGAGACACCATAAAACAAACCCACATCCCATTTCAGAGCACAAGCCACATGCTGTTCAAATGTTTTACAGTGGGAAACTGCAAACTGGCCAGACCCTGAAGTGAGGGAAAAAGCACCACAGAGAAATCTCAGGAGTCTCCCTTGGAAATTCCACCCCCGTGCTGGAAGTTGGGTAAGTTTACCATGGCTTGCTTTCACGGTGGTTTGTCAACTAACCCTAATCGTCACACGGAACACTAAGGTAGGAAAACCTGATTCCAGAATTACAGTGCTTGGATTAATACATCAAACTCAGCTGAGGCTAAGTACAGCTTACCGAATTTGACCACAGGAAGGGAAGTTCAGTTTGTATCTTAGCTAATTTGTGCCCAGTCCCCCCGTCCCCCGCAACAGTCAACCCCAGGCCACCTTGCAACTTGTATGGCAGTTATCTTGATGCTTTTAACTTTCCATCTCAAATGCATCCATTCTCCCTTTTTTAATTTTAATTTTTTTTTCAAATGCATTCAGGCAAATTCCATTTGCTTTTCTGCAGAGTCCGCTTGTGTGTGTGAACCCTCCCGCTCTCTGGGGGAAATTGGCTTCCCTCGGGAGAAAGAGTTTTGCTATCTTCCCCTCTCGCGGTCTGTGCATTTTATCATGCAGTATTGCAGCCGACAGAAAGTGAACCTCTATCTTTGAATTTGAGGGAGAATAATGTCGTTTGATTGCTTTTGGTTTAGCTGCTTGTACGAATCCAAGTCATATACTGTAGCTTTAAATCAGTTTATTCCTGGAAGTGAACTTTCACCTTGGAACTTTTTTGGGGGGAAAATAATTTCTGGACGGGAAAATTAAGGTCATCCTCCAGTTCCTCATTAATGGATATTTCCCAAGACTTTAGGGTTTTTTTGGTGGGGGAGCAACATAGGTAAACATATTCTCTCCTTCAAACTGAGCTCAATTCCTCTGGGAGTGAGGGAGTAGGTGGCCATCACCACCTTCTGTGACTTTTTCCCCTCTTGCCAGTAGCCCACAACCTTCCAGGTGGGTTGGATGGCCGCCTGAGCAGGCCGTGCTTCACTGTCCAAGGTGAGCTGAGTTTTCACTCACCTTTTCACTTTGCCTTCAGGGTGCCCAGGGAAGTGAAGCAGCAGTGAACTTTGTAAATGAAGCTGTGCATGGACACCGCGGATAAAATTTGGGGAGGAAAGAGTGCAAAGACACACTTGTGGGCAGAATGGTCTCAGGGCCATGGCAACCCTGGGAGGGGTGCTTACTTAAGGGGATAAAGGCCCAAGATGACAGTACTTGAACCAAAGTCACCAAGCAATACTACAACTTGCCAGTAGAAACTGCTCACACACCTTCTATTTGCAAAATCTACTTTGTGTTTAGGGAGACTCCCCAGGATGTTAAAACAAAAAACAAAAAACTGGTACAGGTATGTGGGTCTCAACCCTTTTTTAAATAAATCAGCACCTTTTTCGTCAGTGGTTGATTTTGCAAAGGACAGAAAATATGTGTTTTTGCTGGCGATACTCAAACGTATATAAATCTTGGAGCTAAAGCAATGTGCACGCCCACTTATTCTGCAGCTGAATTACTGATACAGTATAATGCAGCACAATGCAGTCAGTCTCATGCCCTTTTTATGGGCATTGCGTGTAAAAAATGGGCAGGGTTTTAATCACATGGTCACAACCACCATCTTGACTTTTTTGCCTCCCCCTCCAGATGTCCTTGACATCAGCTTTTTGGTTTCACTCTACTCCTTATCCCATGACTGCAACACGACTGAATCTCTGATGTGGAACTGGATGGCATTCAAGCAAGATGCCAATTTATGAAATGTT